TTGGTGTGTTGGATGAATCTAAGATGAAACTTGATTACGTATTGGCTTTGAAAATTGAAGATTTCTTGGAAAGAAGATTACAAACCCAAGTCTATAAATCTGGTTTGGCCAAATCTATTCATCATGCGCGTGTCCTGATAAGACAGCGTCATATTCGGTATGCGTTGAAATTTAAATTTTATTTATTTTTTTTTGTAAGCAAACATACATACATATACTAAATTTTTACTTATTTTTGGGAATAAAGTGTTGGAAAACAAATTGTCAATATTCCCAGTTTTATCGTCAGGTAGAAAAACCTAATTGATAATTTTTTTTAATTTACTAATTAATTAATTAATTAATTAATTAATTAATTCATTCATTCATTAAATTTTTTCAAAAAGGCTTGAATCTCAAAAACACATTGATTTTGCACTCACTTCACCTTATGGTAAATATTCTAAAAAAAAACATGATAATAATAAGAAGAAAATATAATTTTATAATTTTATATATAATCTTTTTTAGGTGGTGGACGTCCTGGTCGTGTAAAGAGAAAACGATTACGATCAGCATCAAAAAGTAATATTTTTTTTTTTTAAAAAAAAGTTTTCCTGATTGCTTTTAAATCGGATATTCATTAATTTTATTTTTATAAAATAGCTAATGATGAGGAAGGAGAAGATGACGACGAATAAACAATCCAATCAATATTAATAAAAAATTTTTGAGTTATTTAATAATAAGGAAAAAATGAGTTTTTTTATTTTCCCAATAAATTTCTAAATTCTTTTTGCTAATGATCAATTCGTATCTTTCTTTCGTCATCTAACTTTTATGTATAATTCCATAATTCTATTGTTAATTCCGCTGCACTAAAAGCAGCCAATCTTAAAAAGAAAAAAGGTGTTAATTTTCAGCAAGGGATATTTTTGAAACAAAATTTTATCAAAGTTATTTATTACCTCGCTAAAGTAATACATAACATCAAACCTTCTGGAGATAAAAATAACCTATTATCATTATTTGAAGATCACTTTGACGTTGACGTTGACTTAAGGAATCTTTTTGAATGAAACATATCATAAAAAACAAAAGCGTCAGAGTAAATTTGTAAATAAATAATAAACAAACAATATATTATCTCAAAGAAGAAAAGAATGCTTTGCCTCTGAAACATTTTCAAGAATAGTATATATAATCAGGATACCTTTGAATACAAATGAAATTTAGATTCCTTCAAAACTCTTTATTTATAAATTTTTGCTTGTTTTAAATTCATCATCATCGTAACCACCACCCATCATCATCATTACCACCGCCATACTAAACATCGTCACAGTCATCACAAATTTTAATAATAATTAGGCGTAATATATATTTATTTCTGTAAAAAACTCATTCTAAAGGTTCATGGATTAATTAATTAATTTTATTTATTTATTTATTTGTAGATATAGAATCATTTTAAACCATTTTTAATTTTAAATTCTGCTAAAAAAAGGGCATTCATTCATTTATAAATCATTTTAAATGCCAAAAAAAAAAGACAATTCACATTAGATAAGGATAAGTATGTACCCAGTCATATTAGATGCACCATTTGATGATGAGGCACATGATCTTCATTTGCAATTAAAAATATGTGAAGGTTTACGACCACCAATATTACCAGGAATGCCAGGTGATTATGTACAAATGATGCAAAGATGTTGGGATGTAGATCCAGCCAAGAGACCAACTAGCAAAGAGCTTTGGGATTTTTCTCATAATGAATTTAAAACTGAGAGTCCTAATGAAAGTAGTAGTAATATTGGTGGTGGTGGTAATAATAACAGTAGTGGTGGTAGTAGTAGTAATAGGAATGGTAATAACAGTAATTCACAACAAGTACACAAATCACATCCATTAGCATATCATACAAGTAGAATATTAAATGATGGAATTGCTGAATTGAATTTAAGTAATGATAGCTTATTAAATTATGAAATATAGTTTATTAATCGAAATTTATTAATTTAAATATGATTATTTGTTAATTAATTATAACAATAATAGTAATAGTAATAAGTAGTTAGTTGATAAGGTTAAAGTTGGAGAATGGGGTGAATCATTTATTGGTAGATAAATGATTTATTTTGTTTGTTTTTATTATTTTGAAAATAAATTTCCTCCAGACACATATTTATAATTGAATAATTAATATAATGCATAATTTTCAACACTAATACTATTTACTAATATTAATAACAATTATAATATTGAATTTATATTTTTTTGTTTAGGAATGATTGACACAAAATTAACTAAAAAGACATTCCATTTCTTTTGCTAGATGTTTTTCACCTTCGCACCAATGTAGAAAAATTCAATGCCAGGAATGCTGTGGTATTCTAAATAATCTCTAAAGCTCCACTAGCTACATTGCATGACGAATTTATACATTCAGGTACCATACATCTAAAAATAGGTGCTTCTTTTATTAATGTTGGCACTACGTGTGATTTAATAAATTTGTCAGAGTAAGTGGTGGGTTGTCTTGATATAATAGTGGATCTTTGTAGCTATGATAATGTTGTAGAATGGTGAAGGGATTATCGATCTCTTCAAGGTAAGTTTCAGTAATTTGTTTATTAGGTTATTTTTGTAGCAAATATTTCAATATAGTTTCTTGTCTATGCGGTTTTTCTGCTTCATAGGTTATTATTTGAGATTTCAGCTTTTATTTTGAAGGTTGATGATTGATTTCAACAAAATGAAGTTCTTTTGTATGAAGTGAAACAAATGTAAATATAATTGGTGCTGTATTTTATTGTAAATTTACCTCATAAAGAATTTATCAACAAGTTGGTTCATGTTTTTTTTATGACTTTCTTTACAATAAAAGAAAGCTTCAAAATTTTTTTTTCAGATTCTTTAAAGAATTTTTCTTTGGTTTCCGGATGTTGATAAATAGCAGCCTCCGATTCATCTTGTTAATTTTTTTAATATAAAAAGTTTTTGCTCATTGATTATTTGGTCTAAACCGTAAATTATGTAAAATACTTTAAAAAAAAACAGTTTAGGATACAAGTTTTCATTTTAATATGTGTTGAAAATCATGTACATTTTTTTTTATTTTTATGTAAAATTGATTTACTATGATATTTCACAAAACAATTTCTTTTTTGAGTTTAAACAGCAACATTACATAAAGTACAAAATATAAATGAACAACTTCGTTATTTGTAGCTTTTCATTGGAATTTCATCTATCTCCATTTCCTTAATAGCCTCATCACTATCAGTTCCATTACCATCCTCTAAACTGTCAAGACATTCAATAAATTTATTATAATCAAAGAGATTCATCTTGGTAAATATTTTGTGGTCTTGTAATATTAGCAATATATAATGGGATTCAGAAATCCTTTTATTATTTCAGATTTTTGTACTATATTAATAATATAATAAAATTTAGAAAATTTACACAATAAACCATTATTATTTTATTTACATATTGAGATACTATTTGAGAAGATATTTTCATATCATACATAATGTGAATAATATAACGACAACAAACAACAAAGAACAAAGAAAAAAGAAAAAACGCAAATAGTTATTTACTTTTAGGCACGTGTCGAAAATAAGGGAAACATTCGGAATTCGTGATAAACGAAAAGGATCGACATCATTACAATCATAAGAAAATTGATTAATACTCGATCGTTTTTTAACTGTAGAATGACAAAACGTCTCACTTTAATTATAATCTTGTTTTAGTAAGTGAAGTAAAGCCACATTTATAATATGTATTAGATGCAAGAGAATGGCGAGTAAAAGTGATATACAACTAAATTAATTTACTACATTATTGAAGTCCTTGAAGCATTGTAATTTCACTGAATATTCATTCAATCAATTAAATTTAATCATTTTGTGAATAAAATATTCAGATATTCATCCAATCATTAAATTGATTATTTTCATTGTTAACACAAACAACTTTAAATTTATTTACAGGGAATTGTTATTCACGCCCCACGTGACTAATTGTAGTAATATGATCAATGAATGGCTTAGCCAAATAAATCATGGCTTGATCAAATAAATCGTTTATATAGAAATGGCTTGGCCGTTTAAAATGTGATGATCCGTCTAGAACTCTAAATAACTAATCGACGACTTTGTATAAAAAAATGTTACTATATTTTTTATTTTGCGTTATGAACAAATGTCAAAGAACACGTCAATACATTTTTTTAAGATTATCGAAAAAAAGGGTTTTATTCTTAGTATTAGGGATGTAGAGATAGATGAGTGAGAATTTTCATAAAAATGGTTTTTGCGTTTGTGTAACTTTATTTCAGTATCAAACGATTGAACTTTTTTATTCTGAACTATTTTTAAACTTAAACTTCGAAATTATTTCAAAACTTCAAAACTTTTAAAAAAAAGCAAAATGATGTCATAAGTGTTTTTATATGAGAAAAGGTTTAAAAACAAACAAAAATGATATTTTTCAAAAAATTTACTCGAACTTTACCACGTGATTATATTTCCTCCGTTTTTTAATGTTAATAGTATTAATATTTATTTATAATAATAAAAGGTATTTCAATTCGTATTATTAATGTTATTTACTCTTTTATTGTACTCAACTTTATTTCTTTCCATTCCACATTTATATTGACACGTAAAGCTTGCTTTTTTGAATTATAAACACTTATTGTGTATGAATTTGAATTATTTATTTTTGTTTCCTATGTTGTAAAATAACATTATCGTTTGCATGAGAACCTTATGCAACGTAAAAATTATAATAACCAATAATAAAAAAATAAAAAATAAAAGTAAAAGAAGAGTACAATTTATAATATTACAACCAAAAATCAAAGTAATAAAATGAAGCTATCAAAGAGCTAAAGAGCAAATACAGCCTTATTTACTATTTAAAATAAACCAAAAATAAATGGTTAATATGTTTTAAAAACAATGATATTGACTGTAATGACAGTAATGATGAAAATACTTACTTTCTATTCATTATTTAATATAAACCAAAAATCAATGGTTAATATGTTTTAAAAACAATGATATTGACTGTAATAATAGTAATGATGAAAATACTTACTTTCTATTTATTATTTAAAATAAAACAAAAATCAATCAACAGTTAATATGTTTCAAAAACAATGATATTGGCTTTAATAATAGTAATGATGAAAATACTTACTCCCTATTCATTATTTAAATAAAGTAAAAATTAGCAGTTAATATGTTTTCAAAATAATGATAATAATAATGACGAAAATACTTACAAACTTATTCATTATTTAAAATAAAATAAAAATTAACAGTTAATATGTTTTCAAAAACAATGATAATAATAATGACGAAAATACTTACAGGCTTATTCATTATTTAAAATAAAACGAGAATCAGACAACAGTTAATTATGTTTTCAAAAACAACAATATTGAGTTAATAAAATAGTAACTTACGTATCTATTTATTATTTAAAATAAAATGAAAACCAATGATTAATATGTTTTCAAAAACAATGTAATAATAGGTACAAAAATACTTACGGATCTATTTATTATTTAAAATCAAATGAAATCCAATAGTTAGTATTTTTTTCAAAAAACAATGATATTTGACTATAATGATGTTTATTGCAATAGTTAGATGAAATACCTCGCTTCTTCAAATTATTGTTAACATCCATTGGACTTGCTAAAGCAACAACAGCAAAGATAGCCAAAAAGAGAAGAGAAATATTGAATTTCATTTTGATTTGTTCAGCTAATTCTTAGCAAATTTTGGGGTTTTTTTTCAAATTATATGCAGTTAAGGAATTTATAAAAATTTATAGTAAACCAAATGGATCCTTTAAATATTCGATTTAATGTTAATTAAACAAGAAATTGATTGTTGATCCTGAATGGGCTGTGTGTCGTATATCATACATAACGTGAATAATAATATAACGACAACAAAGAACAAAGAAAAAAGAAAAAACGCAAACAGTTATTTACTTTTAGGCACGTATCGAAAATAAGGAAACATTCGGAATTCGTGATAAAAAGGATCGACATCATTATAATAATCATAAGAAAATTGTTTTTTAATTGTAGAATGACAAAACGCCTCACTTTAATTAAATCTTGTTTTAGTAAGTGAAATAAAGCCGCATTTATAATATGTATTAGATGCAAGAGAATGGTGAGTAAAAGTGATATACAACTAAATTGATTTACTATATTGTTGAAGTCTTTGAAGCATTGTAATTTAGTTTATTGTCATCATATATTTGCTTTGGTAGAGGTTGTACCCACTGAATATTCATTCAATCAATTAAATTTAATATTCGGATAATCATTTGGTGAATAATTAAAATATTCAGATATTCGTTCAATCATTAAATTGATTATTCATTGTTAACACAAAAAACTTTAAGGGAATTGTTAAGTGTAGTAATGTGACCAATGAATGACTTTGCCAAATAAATCGCTTATATAGAAAATGGCTTGATCGTTTAAAATGTGATGATTTTATTGGTTTATCTTTGTCTTAGTCACGTGGGGTGCGAATAACAATTCCCTTATTTAATAATCATTATTATTATGCTTTAATGCTGATTTGTTGACCGAAATACTCAATTCTGAATCAAAAATCTTTTACTTTATTTTTACTTCTTTTAATTTTTATTTGTATTACGTCGAAATTAGTTAACTTTATTTAGAAATTAGCGCAATTAAAGTGCGATATCGCGGTTAGAATGCTAGATTGCAATGATGTATATAAGAAGCTCAAATTTGACATACTTAAAAAACTTTACAATAACTTTGTAAAAAGTTTTATTAACTTAGAAATAAGTTAATAAATTAGTTTCGACTAAATAAAACGTTTTCTTAAAATCACTAAACCAAAATTATTTGCTAATAAAACTAATTCGTTGGTAATAGCCAATTCATTCTGATCCACATAATCATAAATTTATAGTGTTATCACGCTCTCCTAAATAATAATTGGTGTCACTATTATAATGACCGAATGCTCTTCTTCCATTCATTTTAAATTTAATTAATTGGATGAATTTATTTAGAATTTCAATTCAGTTACACAATATATTGATTATCGGTTATTCAGTGAATATTTCAGGGCTGGCTACGTAAAGGGTTAAAGTCCTAATTCGGTAATAATTGTCTTGGCTAAACCTTAATAATAATGACTAAATAGTTTAGCCAAATGCTCATTTAGGCTACGCAGCTTTATTAAATATCAATTATTTAAAACATATTAATTGGGCGTATGAATATTAGTATATTTATATCGCCGTGATGCTATTATCACGCTACTATCTATCAAAGGGTATGTATTAATCTATTTTTTTTTCCAAAAAAAAATAGATCAATGGTAAGTGGTCAATCAAGAATTTCAATATACTATATACTATTAAAGGGTATGTATACAATTATTTTTTTTTTCCCAAAAAAAAAAAATTAATCAAGAAAGGATTGTCACACGACAATAAATAAAATAATTGACAATCCGTCTATATATGAATAATCGACAAAAAAAAATGGTACTACTATAAAATAATATTTTTTATTTTGCGTTATGAACAAATGTCAAAGAACACATCTATACATTTTTTAAGATTATCGAAAAAAAAAGGGTTTACTCTTAGTATTAGGGATGTTTTTACGCTCGTGTAACTTTATTATAGTACTCAATTACATCAAACGATTGAACTTTTATTCTGAAACTATTTTTAAACTTAAAACTTCGAAATTATCTCAAAACTCCGAAACTTTAAAAAAAAGCAAAATGATGTCACAAGTGTTTTTATATGAGAGAAAAAAGTATAATTAAATCTTTTTTAAAAACAAACAAAAATAATATCATAATAATATTCAAAAAAAAATTTATTCGAACTTTACCACGTGATGATGATATTTTTGCAGATCATCTATATTTCCTTCGCTTTTTTTACTTATAATAATAATAATAAAAGGTATTTCGATTCGTATTATTAATATTATTTACTCTTTTATTGGACGTGACTTTATTCCTTTTCATTCCTCATTTATTTTGACACGTAAAACTTATTTATCTTTTCAAATTATAATAAACACTTATTGTGTATGAATTGTTTTGTTTATTTTCGCTTTCTATGTTGTAAAATAAACATTATTATTTGCATGAATCTTACGCAACATAAAAATTATAACCAATAATAAAAAAAAATATCAATATAATATGAAAGTAAAAGAAGTGCTCAATTTATATTACCAAAACTTAAAAATAATAAATGAAGCTATCAACGAAACAAAGAGCAAATAAGCCTATTTACTATTTAAAATAAAATGAAAACCAACAGTTAATATGTTTACAAAAACAATGGTATTGACTGTAATTATGAAAATACTTGTATGCTATTCATTATTTAAAATAAAACAAAAAATCAACAGTTAATATGCTTTTTAAAAACAATGACAAACTATTCATTATTTAAAATAAAATGAAATCAACAGTTGATAATTTTTCAAAAAACAATGATATTAACTGTAATAATAATGCTGATGAAAATGCTTACATACTATTTTTTATTTAAAATAAAACGAAAGCAAACAGTCAATATATTTACAAAAACAATGGTATTGACTGTAATGATAGTAAATGATGAGAATACTTGCTCCCTATTTATTATTTAAAATAAACCAAAAATCAACGGTTAATATGTTTTTAAAAACCATGATATTGACTGTAGTAATGATGAAAATAAAACTTATTCTCTATTTATTATTTAATAAAATGAAAATTAACACTTAATATGTTTTCAAAAACAATGATATTAATAGTATGAAAATTCTTACAGGCTATTCATTATTTTTTCAAAAACAATGATATTTATTGTAATAGTAATATAATAATAAGTGAAATTCCAAATCACTGTTCTTGATAAAGCAACTACAACAAAGATAATCAAAAAAGAGAAGAGAAATATTTGAATTTCATTTTTGTTGTTCAGTTAATCCTTGTCAAGTTTTCACTTTTTTCTTGATTTTCAGATTGTATGGAATTAAGAGTATTTATAAAAAAATAAAAGCGAGTTTGTTTTTTTTCAAGTTGTATGCAATCAAGGAATTTATAAAAAATTTATAGAAACCCAGTTATTTTATGAATTAATTTGGTTATTCTTCGCAATCACAGATAAATGAATTCCTTAAATATTCGAATATGATTAATGATTCCAAGGAATTTGATGCTTAGATGGCTAAGCCGACTTGTTATTTATTTTTTTACATATATAAAAAAGTTTTTATTAAATAGTTCAAATTTGAAGATACAAATGTGAGCTTTGCAATTTCATGAAACACAACTTTCCTACAAACAACATAATTTTATATCTTCGGGTAGATTTTCTTAATAGCCCTGTTTTAAAATAAAAACATTACCCTTTGAGAATTTTGATGTTCCATTTCTATTTCTACAAAGTTTGCAGATTCCAACCATATATATATATATTTATTAAACCAATCTTTATCAATATTTTTTCTATAATGTAATTTTTTCATTTCTAATTCTCTGATTTCATCATTATTATTTGTTTCATCATCTGATAATTCAATAATTTAGAATTAAAATTTTCTTTTTCAAATATTTTTAAAATAAATTTTATTTTAATTTTTTTCATAACTAATCAGTAAAATTACATTTATCTAATGCATTCTCTATTACAAGTATCACATTCGCTCATGTATTTTATTCGATAATCAAGCCTTTTTCTGAAATTGTTAAATAAATAAATGTGGATAAAATGAATAAATCTGATTATTTTTCAACTAATTAAATTAAACGTTATATAATTACTCACTCAAGGATTCTTTTCACTTATAGCAGTATTTTGAATAATATTGTCAATATATTGGAGCCAATATAATCATACCACAACACCAGCAGGATAGAGGTGAATCAAGGAGAACCTAATATATTCTAACTCATTCCAGGTTGGTGATGAAAGTTGTTGTAATCCTTGAAATAATTTAATCTTGATTTCTTCCAATGTGTTGAGTTGTATCGCATGTATTAATCAAGATAAAGTGAAATCTATAACATGTGTGTGTTCTAGTGCCAATAAATCAGATGGCGGAACATCTTCACATATTTGGACAAGGGTTTCAAATGGTATATTTGCAAAAAAATGCAAATTGTTTTTTTCCTAATAAGACTATATTTTGTGGTAAAAAAATGAGAATTCCTAATATAATAATATAACTAGAATGACTACGAGTGGCAATAACCACCACACCATTCTTATGATAAACACTTACCCATCATTTCTTGTCTCATTTTCTTTTTTCCTTTTTTTTATTATAATTATTGTTTGATTGTGGTGATGTTGGTGAAATAGAAGAAGTAATCATATTATAAATATTATTGTTTGATTGTGATGATAAAGTAATATTATTATTATAATTATTGTTTGATTGTGGCGATGTTGGTGAAGTAGAAGTAATAATATTATTATTATGATTATTGTTTGATTGTGGCGATGTTGGAAAGTCTTTGGATTTCTTATCCTTGGGCATTTTGAAAAAAATTAAAGAAAAAACACGTTTTTAAAAAAAAATTATTGGCAATTTGTGTTGTACAAAAATTTTTTTTTTTAACAGATGACAAAACATGAGCCTAAAGAAGACTTGCTAATAACTAACCAGAGGTACTTTTTTTTACTTGTAAATATTTTTAATTGGAATCGAAACGCGAAGCAGAACTCGATGGGTAATCAGGGCTGGAAATAATACTTTAAAAATTTGTATTTTCCTTTAAAAATTTTATAACTTACGGAAAAAAAAGAATTGAGGTCTCCCTTTTTTAAAATACTTTGTAACAATTTAGAAAGGATAGGCAATATTTTGATGATAATACTATCTCTCTTTGGAGATTTTCGAAAGAAAAGGAAAAAAATTGTTCCACAAAAGCGTTGTATATAAATTTTGATCTTTATCTTTATCCTTATCCTTACTTATTATTATTATTATTATTATCCTTATCCTTATTCCTTACTTATCCTTCTACTTATCCTTCTACTTATCCTTATACTGATCATGATCATTAAGCGCTCCCAAATTTTTTTAAATGTTCAAGTTTTTATAACAACAATAATTAAAAACATCATTTAATTAAATCAAGCCATTTTCAAAAATGTGAAGAAACACTTTCCCACCACTAAACAATTCAGAATTAATTCATTAGAAAACACTCTCCTCGCCGCTAAAAAACAGAAATTAATTCACCATTGTTAAGGAATCAATCAAGCTTTTTGCAATTAATTTCTTTATTGTTAACATGCCTTTTTGAAAATGTGAAAATACTTCCCCCGCCGCTAAAAAAACGTAAAGATTCGGATCATTGTTTAAGAAAATCAACTATGCCTTTTTCGAAAATATAAGAAGATGCTAAAATTAATTCGATTGTTTATCATTTAACAGTCTTTGAATAACGTTAAAGCCACATATTAAATGCATAAATCTTTACTTAAAAATGTAAAAAAAAAAAAAAAAGTTATTGATATAGTGGTAAAATGATATAATAATAATTGTAATAATAATGTGTTTTATTTTTGTTGCCGATTGTTTTATTAAAAACGTTCCACCGAGGAAACGATCAGCGGAGGAAAGAAACATTTTGTATTTTGAAATTTATGGTAAAGAGCATTGAGAAAACAATTTCCACCTCAGGATGTAGTTTCTCTGTCTGGCTGTTCATAAAACTCAAGGATTGACCCTGTCACACATAACATTGAACGTTGATGAAAATATGTTTGCCGAAGGGCAAGTGTCCTAGAAAAACTGCAGATCCTTGATTATTCTCATTCTCAATTAAAAATTTCTAGGGGCTACTTTAGAAAGGGTATAAAAGATTAGAGGCCATGAGTATTGATGGGTTGCAAAAACTAACAACGGTGTATAGATGTTATAGATGGTGTCTAAATTGTTTTAGGATATGAAGTATTGACAAAATGTCTAAAATGTCCAAACAATATACATAAATAGCAGTGATATTCAAAGAATATTGTCATAATTTAACCAAATTTGGAAATAATCTGTAGATTTCTTAAAAATTTGTATATATGGCATAGTCGAACTTGTATTTTAGATTAGACATTACATCTTAATTGTCTAGATTGTCTTTATCAAAATGTGTTGATTTAGAACACCCTATTACTATGATTAAATTTTCAGAACAAAAGTTCCATCCATATATATATATTAATATTAATACTTGTGTAATCGATAATTACACACACGATCTCTTATTAAAATCTAGAATTATGATGATGATTCCAAATTTGTGAAAAACCTGATATATTATATATATGTGGGAGGTGAAACAAATTCCAAATATGTGATTTCATTCGTGTAATGGCAATAGCAATTATAATAATGGCATTTCGGAAACAGTTCAGCATTTCTATTTTGGAAATAGAAACAATTTCGTCATAATAAGATTTAATATATTCAGAATTTCTTTAAAGAGTAACTTCCGAAATAGTTTCGGGTTCTAGTTATCACCATAATTAAATTGCATGACAAAAATTTTGTGCGTAAAAACGTCACAGTGTTACAACTTTGATCCCTGAAATAGTATGGCCCAAATAAAACGTGTTGGGAAAAAAATAGTAACAACAAGTGGAATTGTTCTTCAAAAAAATTTATATAAAAAAAGGGAAAAGTAAACAATAATAATAACAATAATAACAATAATAGAAATAATAATTATAATAATAAAAAATTTTTTTTTAAATAAAAGTAAAGTTTTTTTGTATTTAGAATTTTATTTTTAAATTGTTAAATGCATTTCAAATTTAAAGATTAATTTCTTCTTATTTTTGCTTATTTTTCAATAAATAATTAATTATTAAGAAATATGCGTGAGTTAGTTTTAGTTCGTAAGCTAGAAGGTGAAAAGAGAAAAACGAATCATGGCAATGAAAGTAGCGGCAACAATAATAGTAGCAGCAAAAATAATGATATTGATAATGAAAAAATAAATGAAAATAGCAATTATAATAAAAATATTGAAGATAATAATAATAAATTAAATGATAATGACAGTAATAATAATCATAATAATAATAATAATAAATTAAATGGTAATGATAATGATAATAATAAAAATGATGATGATGATTCTTCAATTATAAAAGAGACAACTAACAATTACATTAATGATGATATCAACCAATTAAAGCCATCATCAAATGACAATTTGGAATTATCAAATAAATTAGAAGACACATTTACAGCCAAAGAAATAAAGTCAAATAACGATGATGATGGTGATAATGATGATAACAACAACAACAACAACAACAACAACAACAACAACAATAATGTTGATGATGATAATAATAGTAAAGAAGAAGCAATTTTATTTTCAAAATCAGAAGAAGAAAGGTCAATATTACGAACCAAAAGAGAAAGTCTTAAAGAGTTCTTTTTACATAAGCAACCTTATAACATCAATAAAGACAAGTCTAAAGGTGAACACGAGACATTAAAGTTAAATAATAATAATATCAAGATATTTACATCAACGGTTCAAACAGAAATAAAAGAAGAGATTGTTAATGGTATATCAGCTGATGAAAGGTAATTTAATATTTGGGAAAAAAATAATTGGTATTTAAAAATTGATTCTAATTTAATTTTTTTCAAAAAATAAAATAAAATCAAAAAGTGGGGTAAGTTCTATTGAAGCAATAACTACAACTAAAATAGTCATATCTGATTCTTCAAAGGAACTAAGTCCCGATGAGAAACGTCAAAGAGCTGCTGCGACTCGTTCAAAACAAAGCATGGAATTAAAAAATCTCATGAAACAAAAGAAGCGCGAACAAAATTTAGATAATAATGATGAAACTATTATGTTTGTTCCTAAAAATTTAATTGATTCGCTAAATGAACAAAAAAAGTAAGCAGGATATTTAAGAATTATACCGTTTTTTTTATTTTGGTTATTTTAATTTATTAATCCATATTAATCAACATTTTATTTGATTGATTTCTTTAAAATTTTAAATTATAGAAAATCTGTTAATACAACGGCAGCAGATGTTGAATCAGATGGATCAGTAGATTTGGATGATTTGATTGGCCAAATCAGTGATTTAGAGTCAGGAACTGTCGCCAACCTTGATGAAGAAGATGACTTATGTGATGACAATGATGACTTTTGGAAAATTGAACCAGATGAGGTATTTCATAATAATTATACATAAAAATACTTTGTATATCGTTTTATTCCTTGCTCAATTACATTAAACTTCTTGTTAAAATTTTAGGTTTTAAGAAATCTCACACCATCAACTACTCCTTTAGCTACTCCTTTACGAGGTCCGTCACCAAACTCGCAAATTTCATCTTCAACCTATAATCTAACAAGACCTACTAGTACCATAGCTGAGGAAGATGAAAATCTAAGTGATACTCCACTCGAAGTGGACAAGCAAGAAGCAGATGATCTTTGGAAAACCTCAAATACAAATAAGGAATTCGATGTAAAGTATAATAATTTACAAATAGTTTTTTCCTTGATTACTATTATTATTTAATTTGTTATCGTTAAATATAAATGTATCGATTCTTAGATGGAATCAAAAGAAGAGGATGAATTAGATTTGTTATTAGACACAGAAATCATGCCAATTTTAAAACCTTCTTCACCATCACCTGTTCCCACACCAAATTCTTCATTGTCTGGTGGTAAAATGGGAATTCCTTCCGGCCTATCCAAGTCTGCATTTTATAGCTTAAGTTATGTAAGATCACCATTATCACCCAATTCATCGCAAGCTTCATCTGTGGTAGATCCTGAGGAATTTGAAACATTATCAAACGGATCTCATACTTCTACTAGCTCAAGAAGTATTTCTGCGTCTGGGATAAGAAGACCATCGAACACCACAGGAATAAGATCACCAACTCGTAATGATAGAAGTCCATCTAAAATAGCAAGATCTGGTGCTTTGTCCCCAAGGTATCCGAGATCATTAAGTCGCGCGAGTAATAGTTCAGCCGAAGAGAGTACCACTTCGTCTATTGGTGGAGCAATATCTCCAACAAGAATTGCGTCACCGACCAGAGGATATCACTTATCAATGTATAATACTCCTACAAGTTTCCGTCAAAGATCCATCAGTGGTGTTAGCAGTAGTTCAGCAGATGAGATTTTATCAAGACCACAAACATCACCCCCTACATATAGATCATTAAGTAGAATTGGTGGAAATATCGGAGGAAATAAATCATCCACTTCAACCGATTCACCCAAGCAAATTCGCAGTAGCTTGCCGCCACCATCGTCATCGACTAAAAATAATGCCAAAACTTCTAAAACTGGACCTAAACGCCCTACTTCACAACCAGCATCTTCAAATATTACTTCTTCAGGTTTATTAAGTCCTTCTAGCAGAGCAGGTATAACTAATTCTCGTAACAATAATGTTCCAGCAAATGGTTCATTAAATAGATTTGGCAAACCTGCTAAAACTTACACCAATTCGCCAAATAATAAAAATAGCAACAACAGCAATAGCAATATTAACAACAACAACAATAATAAATCACCATCAAATAATAGAACACCTAAAAATGATTCGCGTAAACTTAGCATTCAAAGTGCAGATAGTCATGACGAACATTCAGGTTCAAGTATGATTTTTAGTCCTCCAGAATCACCTGTTGGTAGTTCAGAAACAGAGTCTTTAACAAGTACAATGTCGTATGGGTCTTCTGCTGGTAGAGTAGCATCACCATCACAAGTTTATAATAATAATTCAAATAATTTTTCAATGCTTCCATCACCGACTAATTTTTCTGATAAAAAATCTGCAACAATAACAGTTGCTCCTACAGTTGTCTCCACAACAACAACAACACCATCAACATCAACATCTAGTAAATTGCCAACTACAAGACAATCATCAAAACTTCCAACGTCTGGCGGTCACACGGGAATAAAAATACCTACAACATTCAGAAAATTCAACAAATAATAATAATATTTAATAATAATAATATATATAATATCAAATTAATTTTATGTATTATTATTAACATTAATATTTAGTTTGCTGTTATATATATATTATTTATTGTACATATAAATTTATTATTATTATTATTTATGTATTTATATATCACGATTTAGAGTGCGCATTTATATATCTCTTTTAATTAATTAATAATTTCATTGCATATGGTCAGAAATAAAACATTTTACGTGCTTTGGCTTCAAAATAGTCTATTAAAAGTAAAAATTGGTTCTTCATATTCACAATACAATATAAGACATTTAACTGTTATTTTCATTCATAAAAACAATTCTTTTTTTTTTTTGAGACACTTTTTTAAAAGTAGCAAAAGTGTGAAAAATATTAATTTGAAGAAACTAATTTTAAATAAATGGATTTATGTAAGCATATTTGAGAGTGTTATAAATTACATGCGTTTTATATTTTATTTACAAATAAATAATTACAGTATTGCAACAATACCGTAAACAAAACGAGACAATTGCTAAGTAAGTTATTAAAAACAAAATAAAATTTCACGCGTTTTTCAATATTTTCCTTCATTGTTATCATCATTACAGATCAAATGCAAAATATGCTCTACGTCTTCGTAGAGCAGAAAATGATATCAATAAACTTCAACACGAGAATATTGAGCAGCGAGACGCAATTATAGACCTGCAACAAAAAATTAATCAACTAAATAAAATAAACAGTTCAAATAAAGAGATACTTAAAAATAAATTAAAGGTTAATATTTATAGTCTGCTATTTATTAATCATTCTCATTGACTATTAATATTTATGCATGTTTTCTTTAGATCGCTTATTCACAAATATCTGAAATAATTGAAGGGATTTTCGAAGCGGCTATTAATTCCATCGATTCAGATGAAGGCATTTTAACTTGTTCCAAATAGCAAAACTTAAACATCCACTACTATTTAGCAATAATGTAATAATTATATCTAATAATTTTAGATGCCAATAATAATAATATGACAGAAGATCCTTTCAACCTCGATCTCGACACTAAATTGGAAGCAATGCCCAAGAAAAAAAAGCAAAGGGTAAAATTTGTGTAATTATTTCTATTACTTTAATATAACGAACTATTCAATTAAATATATTTGTTTATTCACCTTTAGCTTTCTGGTTTTATTAAGAAAGAAAATAAGAGATTGGAGACTATTGAAGAATCTCCTGTTCTTATAGAGAAAGTAAATACAATGTATGCACGAAATATAAAAAATTACTAAAATACATTCCCTCATTTAATAAAAAAAAAAACTAAAAATCTTCATTATTGTAGAGATGATTTTAATAGGCCTTCTTCATCTTTACAATCATCATCAGAACATAGTCCAATATCGTTAGATTCTACATCAAGTTTTTTACCATCAACATCTTCAACTTCATTCTCATCGTTAATAATAAATGATTATCCAACAATTACAACAACCGATCATCCAAATTCCATCACTCTTTTTGATATTAGTAACCCACTTCAAATTGTAGAATATGGTGGTATTAGTAATAATGCCATTGATAGCTATGCTCATAATGATAATGATAATGATAACGGAATAACAGAAATTTCTAATCAATCAGGACCAGGTTCATCATCATCATCATCGCCGCCGCCGCCGCCGCCGTTGTCGTTGTCGTTATCACCATTAGCTAGTTTCGACAACTTTGACACTTTGGTAGAAATTAAAAAAAGTTATCCGCCTAATAACCATGATGAAGCTATTAAGTCAGATTCTTTATCTAATAATGAAGATGGTAATTAATAAAAAAACTAGGTTTCTTATACATATATATTAGTTTTATAGATATTGATATAATATTTTATTTTTTCCTATAAACAATAAAGATACATCAGTCGATCAAGATGATAATGGTGATTTTAAACGAAGAAGAACCCAAGTAAATTATGCTGAACCTAATCTTCGAAAGTTAGTATATTAAAATATTGAGAAATTTTAATCATTTATTTATATCATTTAACTAATTGTATTAAAAAACGAATCATTAGAAAACTACGTCGTGGAGATCCTCAGACTAATTCTTTTGGGTTAACTAATTCAGATTTAGAAAAAATGTCTAAAAAAAATAGCCGTAAATCTTTTTCGAACAGATAATATTAACATCATTTATTTATATATTTATAATTAACATAAGAAGGAAATTGTTAATCCGTTGACATGTAGAGTTAGTTAAAAGTTCAAAAATATTTTCGTAATACCAAAGTAAATTTTCACATACATACAGTCAACCTCGTTTCAACGAATGTATGGGACCAACCACTTTAAATTCGTTGAAACAAGAATATTAATAGTTATTTATTGAAAAAGCTAAATTATGCGATCTTTTAGTCTTGCTTAAGCCATCTATCCGATTCCTTTAATATCACTAACTTGTCCTGCATTAATTCCATATTTTTATGTTAAATCAATATTTTTTGGTTGAGTTCTAGTTTGTTTTTGTAATATATTATAAGAAGATAAGAAAAAGGGTGATAATGATAGTTGTTGAAGCATTTTTATAAAGAGATTATTAATTGTATATAGATTTTTTTTGATAACTCTGTACATCACGTGACTTGGTGGAATCATATCCTTTGATTTCTTGTTCGTTAATTCAGGACAACCAATCAATTTTTTGTGCAAGGCCTTTCATAAAGATATTCTAATAGTATGAGACATCGTTTGTTCTATGAACACCAAAAATTATAGATAGATCGTAGTTGTGTAGATTGTTTTTATATAGACTGATGATTTTGCCACATTGACTTTCAGTTAAAGCTGGCATTTAAGTTTAAAACCTTTCAAAAAGGTTTGTTTAAAAATTTTGCTTGTCACAAAGTATTTCCAAATCAACATACAATTCACTTATTATCATATGTCAAAACATCAGATAAGATTGTTATGTGTGTTTCTGAACAATTTATTTTTTGGAAACAGGGATATTTTGTCGGTCAAAGTTTTATTTTTTTTTAATTATTAATTTAATTCCGAGTTATTTCTATTTTTATTTTACTTTTATATTTATTTGGATTGCATTTTATTATAGCATCATAATCAGTTAACTTTATTCAGTAGGAATTGTCGTGTTTAGAACATAATATTCTGTTTAGAACACTATCTTGTGTGAAAGACATGATATAAACTTATGTTAAAGTCATAGATAATGCGATCTTGCGTTGAGGATATTACTAATTAACTTAATTGTTTAAAATGACTGGTGAAGATCCTTCCAAAAAAAAGTCTTTCTTTATCACGTTTATACTTGATATTAATAGCAACGATTTTCTCCGAAAATTCTAAAATTAGCCACAAACCTTAATTTTTGACATCACATGTCGTGAAAATGAGAATTTGCAATTCACGTACGTGAAATTCAAATTAGCCAATCAGAATTTCATATCCGAACGCCCCACCCCAAAATTTTCATTCATAGTTTCAATTTCACATACAAAACAGACACAGGACTTATTCCTTTCTTCATACTCAAATTAGGGAAGAAGGTTATTAATAAATAGAGAAAGATCTTGGTGTTAAAGTTTATCAACCAAATACCGCATTTGGAATTAATTATCTCTTTTGGTCATTACGCCCGATGATCGATCTCCTGCTCATTTCTTTTCAATCATTCATCAAGTTTATAAAGGTAAAAAATAAAAATCTTAGTTTTAAAGTAAGAAGTAATGCTGTTTTTGAATAACTATAGTTTGACATAGAGCCTCTATCAATATGAGAGAGGGTTCATTAAGAAGCCATAATGACAGTTTTATTTTGATTAATAATGAGTGATGTTTATTTTATTAAAAATAAAGAGATGTTTTAAAACCCTGATTGGTTACACAGACCGGGAATTTTCTATTTTATTCACACATTTACTTGACAAAAAAAAAAAAGGAAAGTTTAATATTAAGGGGTAAATTTCGAGGAATCCATGCCGCGATTTTGGCCTTTTTTATTGAAAAGCCACACAACAACCGCCAAATAATAATTTGATTACGCGTTTATTACTTTCAATTTACAAAATTTAAAGTCATACATTTTTTTAAAAAAATCAGAATATCTACACTCAAACAACCAATGCTTATCAACTGAATACCCATTGACGATATCATCATTTTTTCTCGTTATTGTCATCATCATCAGTTTTGTCCAAGCAATTCCAATTAATTTCGTCTTTACCATTGGCCTTCAAGTACTCGTTGGCTTTTGACCAATGTTTACAATCAAAGAAACCTCGAGACGCAGATAATGGTGAAGGATGAACAGCTTGTAGAACACAATGTTTTCCCTATTCATACAGGGTATATGTGGTTGATATTAAATGTTTAATATAATTCTTCATATAAACATTGTCAATTTAAATTAAATTATTACCTTGTTGATATTCTTTCCTCTTTTTATGGCATGATTTCCCCAAAGCATGAATACTAATCCACTTTTTTTATTGTTCAGATATTGAATTATTGCATCTAGAGAACAGAATGATTGATTATTCAATGAAAATAATCTTTATATAGTATCATTTTATAAATATATATTTTATAATAATTACCCGTAAATTTTTCCCATCCTTTATTGCTATGACTTGCTGCTTCATGTGCACGTACGGTAAGTGATGTATTTAACAATAAAACACCTTCCTTTGCCCAATTAGAAAGATTTCTAAAAAACATTATATTATTTATATTATTTACACTTGCATTCATATTCAATTAATATATTAATATAATAAATATTATTATTTACCCGTGATTTGGAATTTTAAATGATTCAATATCATATTTCAATGCTTTATATATATTGAGAAGAGAGGGTGGTGGTGTTACTTTGTGCGGTACACTAAAGCAAAGTCCATGTGCTTGACCAACATCGTGATACGGATCTAAAAAATCATAAAATTTAATTTATTAATTATGTAATTACACGTACGCATATATATATATCGATATTAATGATGATTAGGAACCTTGACCAATGATTACAACTTTTACAGAAGATGGAGGTGTCATCCTTGACCAATTATAAATATCTGGTTCTAATAATATATTAATAATACATTAATATATATAATTTATGATAAATATATTTATTATTGTTGGATTAATTGATTAATACATACCAGGTGGAAAAATTTTATGACCTTTTTTTTTTTCTTCTTCAAGAAATTTCTTCAACTTTTTTCCCCAAATATAATAAATAATAACATAAATTTTACGTGTTATAAAAAATTCTTTCCAAATAAAAAACCCCTTATGTTTCCTAATTATTTCACCTCGATAAAATAAGGTTCTTGAATTTCCTTGAGCAAAACTTTTAACCATTCATTATTAATAGTTTTCAATTCTAAACTTAACAATTCCTTATTTTTAATTTCAAGTTCTTCAATTTTAATTGGAGGAGCAGGTTTTGGAGTGAGCCAAGAAGTTAAGGAAGTTTGTTGCCTTTTATTAATTTTGACAGAAGAAGTTTTATTATCATCATTACTACTTTCGTTGGGTCTCTTGATCATTTTCGTTTGGTTTAGTTTGAAAAAAAAAAAATTCTTTTTTATCTACAAAAAATATTATTTTTATTATTTTTATTAATATTAAAAAAATTAAAAGGTTTGAATTATATTTTAAAGAAAAAGTAAAATAATTATGAAGGAAGAAAGGTTTTATTAATATAATCGGAGGGACCTGTATCAAATAGTTCTTACTTTGACACGTTTTTATGAATATGTTCCAGTGAAAAGGATAAATTTGATCCCTGAAATTTCTTTGTTCAAATGTGAAAATTTTTTAGTGAGAAGCATCGGAACTGGGATTGCCGATAATTCTTCATTTCTTACCAAAAACAAAATAATTTGTTAATTAAATCAATGATCTCGCTAATAATGAAACAAGCAATGAATGAATGATTTCAAAACTGAAGAGTTGGATTTCAGCTTAATATTAATATGGAATAGAATCCTCTGCAAAAATTACTAATATTTTAAAACACTTCGAGAAAATTCTTTCGCGTTTATTTTTTAATAAATAGAGTCATGAATGTATAATCATGTTATATATACGATCTTTTATTTTCTGAAAAAAAAAAAAAGAATTTGTCTATTAACTTCTAACAAGTCATTATTTAAATTATTTGATCTTTATAATTATGAGTAAATAAATAGATGATACGAAGGAATGATTTTGATAAAGATTATGACAATATCATAGAAACCTACCAAATCACTAACTATAAGCTACAAATCATACAGTCCTTTTCGATAAACCGAGGAATGGGGAAAAAGACCTTTATCAAAGAAACTTTGCTGGCAGACTCACTGCGCCTAACAGGATGAGTCTGGAAAACACTTTCGATAACCGAAGGCATAAGCTCCAAGTGAAGACATGACAAACTTGGTAAACGTGCCAAGAATTTTCTCAAAGAACCCCATGAAAAAAAAGGATCGATTCCAAAAAATTAAACTAGTCGGGAATTTGGTTACGAACTAACCATTTTAGAAATTAGTAAAGGAGTTTGCATGAAAGCACGTTCAAATTCAAAAACAAAGGAATGTAAGATAAAAAACAGATGCTGCACAAACTTCGTATGTTCTTTTTAGCACCAATGAAATCCCCCAAAGCATTCCCTTTGGGAATAAAAAAATAATTATGAATAGGTAATTTTTTCTCAAAAATATAATATAAAAATATTTATTTATTTGTTATTATGTCAATGATGATATTAATGATGAATTTCTTTTAAATTTTAGGTGGAGTCGTTTTGAGTTTATATAAACTCAAAACGACTTAGATTAGACTATAATAGTCTCAGGCATGACGTGTAGATCACAAAATTCAAGTCATTCAAGTGATGGGTAGATCATAAAACTCAAGTCATTCGAGTGTTGTACGTTTTGCGTTTGCCTCGTCAAAGATGAGACGTTTATAGTCTGCTCATCAAAAAACTCAAGTCATTCAAGCGATGGTTCAATCAAAAAACTCAAGTCATTTGATTGATGGGCATGTTATAAAACTCAAGTGTCGAATTGTTATCTATTATATTACCCAAGGATGAGGCACGCAGTGCCGAATTGTTATCTATTTTATTACCCGAGGATGAGGCACGCAGTGCCGAATTGTTATCTATTTTATTACCCGAGGATGAGGCACGTAGTGCCGAATCGTTAACATATCTGGTAATACGTCAAAGCATCCGATGATGAGGCACGTAATGCTGAATTGTTATCCTTACTCGGTGACCCACCAAAGCATAATTTTATTATATATATATCTGTAATAATTTTACCTTGGTGTCCCACTTTTTTACTCAAATAATACTTATCTGGTGACCCACCAAAGCACAATTTTATATATTATATACGCACTCTATTTCAGAATGCTAGCATTTTATTCGAAATAGTACTCACACCGAAAAAACTTTGGTGGCCCAAAAAATATATGGGGCGCGGAAAATAGAAAAGGACCTAACAGCAAAATCATGATTTTGAGATAACTAAAAAAAGAGATTATGACCCAAAAATTCGGTATTCGTATATCATTTCCATATTTATAGTAAAAATAGGGGGATGTTTTCCAAACAAAATAATAACAATAATATAATGTAATAATATAAAATAAAATAAAAATAATTAAATAATTTACATTAAATAGAAAATTTTTTTATCAGAATTTTGAACATATTGAATAACATTTTCACGTATATATTTTTTTCGGTCAGGAGTTAAACCTACAGGATGCTTTTGTTCTAAAATAGGATCCATGATTAAATTTTTACTAATATCTATAAAATTAAATGTTCCATCAATCCTTTCTTTAACATATACAATTCCTGGTTGCTCTTGGTTAAAAATAAAATGATGATATTTTAAAATATTTAGTAATGGTTTAAAATAATTTTTTAAATATTCAGTCCAGTTGTGGAAAAAAACTTTTCTTTCACCAGTTTCATCATAAATGGTTTGGGCATTATTATACCCATTTGTTGATAATTCTACAACATTAACAAGATCTTCTAAATCATCAACTTCAGAATTTTTAAGTTTCAATTTAAACAATCCAAAAAATCCATCAGGGCTAAATTTGGTATGGCCAGCTACCATAAAAGAATATGTAATTTTTTTATGCTTGCCTTTTAGTACCCGCCATGCCAAATATTGAATCATTGCATTGTTTTTATTTTGACCTGAGCAATTGTCTGCATGAATTATTATTTCTTCTTCACCAAGACTGTATTGTTCAAAATAATTATGAACTAAAGAAATCACAGTGTCAGCTCCTTTACCAACATGTTGTGATTCTTCTATAAGATAATTGATCTAAATAATAATTATATTGATTATATACTGTAGTTTAAAAATTGATTAATAAATTTTCAAAAAACAAATTATTAACCTGTCTGGGTTTGAAGTCTTCACAAATGCCAAATACTTGAACTTTATATAGGGCTTTAAAATATGAACTCCCCTGTTTATTTATTTAATAAATGTAATTTAAAATTTATTTACCTTTGAAAAATTTATATGCAAAAAAAGCACATACTGTACATACCACTTGTTGTGAAGAATATGGAATATGAACCTGTTCTGCAAAATCCCACGAAATATGAACTTTAACATCACATGAGTTTGCAGATCTAGTGGGATTTGAATCTTGTCCCAACCTCTCAAATGCCTCTTTTGCATCTTTTATACAGACTCTAAAAATTAAAAATAAACTCAGCAAATTTAACAAAAAAACTACAATCATACATAATTAATACCTATAATATTCACGCTCCTTCATTGCCCATGTAATATGATTATTCCATTCTCTAACCTTCATTTCTTTTTCTTCTATTGTCCAATATTTTGCATTGAACCTGTGTTCTTTGCAAATATGACATAAATCACTTCTTGGAGTAAGAAATTTTATTTCTGGAAGATACATTTTCCATATCTTCCGAAATGTTTTAACTGAAATATGCATTTCAGAATTTTCCTCAATTGCATCAATAAAATATTTAAAAACGGTAGTGTGATTTTGATCTGCTGGAAGGAATATAATATGTTTTGTGTCTTTTTTAAAACTTCTTCCTATAATAGATTACTTTAATTAACAAAATTTACTTTTTCAAATTAAATGTTGATCAAAAATCTATATTTACCTGGAGATGGGAGTCCATTTATATTAGAATAATTTAATATAAATTTAATAGTCTGTAAAACCCCATCAAATGATACTGCTCTATTGCCTACTTTTCCTGTTAATAAATTTGTTCTTAATTGTATATCAAAATTGTCAAAATGACTTCTGATATTTTTCCATCTTTTTTCACCTATACCATAGATGCCTTTGAATGCAGTTTTACAAATTTCTATTCCATCAAAATAATACACATTTGCTAATCTTCTTCTTTTTTCTCCTTTGTAAGTTTCTTTACCTCTTAAACTAGCAGAAAGAATACCTTTCAAAAAACTATCTTGTTCAGTTTTTCTTAAATCAAGGAAAGATTTATATCTAGTTTTAATGTCATTAAAATTTAATTTTTCTTTCAAACATTCTTCTAAACAGCAATTTTCATTCAGCAAATTTTCTACATAGTGGTTTATATCATGATCCATTTCTTCTTGTTCATCAGAAATAATAAACTCATCATCCACTATTTTATTTTTATTATAAATATCTTTAAATTTTTCTATTTGTTCTTTAGTCAATATCTCTGTTTCATCATTGCTTTCTTCTTCTTCTTCTCCTTCTCCTTCTCCTCCTTCAATTAAGACAAATTGTTTCATTTTTTTTTTCTTTAATATATGAGTTAGATTGATAATTTTTTTTAAGTTCAGCAAAAGCTTCTTTTAAATCACTTAATTCAGAATGTGTATCAGTAAAGACACTGTTAAAAAATATGTGTGTAGACATTTTAATTGATCAACATCAAATTTTTTTATTTGCTTAAATTAAATAAATGTAAAATAAAAAATCAAGCTAAATGACCTAATTCTCAATCCAAATACTCAGTTTTTTTACCTTGCTAGCTAGGTATGTGAAAACTACATTTGTTGCAAATATTATTATTATTATTATATATAGAAGATGTGACTTGTCACTAAGCAATTATTATTTTTTTTTTTTGGAAAAAAACAAAATAAATATTTTACAACATACACAATTAAAATTATTATTGGACTAAAAAAAATATGTGTATATGTGAGCAAGAAAAGCAAAATATTTTTTTTATTCATTTTTATTAATTAAAAAAAAAATTTCATTCACACCATGATATCATCCTGATTTATTTTCTATCAAGTAACTTGTCTCAAAATGGGAAGATTTTAAAGATTAATTCACTTTCTAGAAATGCTTTTAGAGTCAACCTATTGATGATCAAAGAGTGTGAATGTTTAGAAGAAATATCAACAAAGCCTTTTTACCTCATACAGCACACAGTGCTTGTCAGTTTGCAAACAACAACAACATGATTTCCTGAAAGTGAGTTGCAAACAAAATTGTTATTATCTTGTGTGTTTGTACATTTATTCTA